GATGAGGAACGTCCCATGAACGTGTGTTCGAGTCAAGTGAAATGTTGTCTAATGGGAAAAAGGTGAAAATATTCATCATTCGCTTTACATACTTAGCGTTTGGCATACTTCAGGTGTAATTTCAATATCGGTTATCGGCGGGTCATATATCGTTTTAGGCCGATATATCGGATTCACCTAATATCGGCCGATACCGATAACCGATAAAATATCGTTGCATCTCTAGTTATAGGCATATTGTGATGGGACACAACTTTCTTAACATCCGGTAAATGCTCAAGGGGTAAACATTTTTATCTTCCATTTTTACAATGCATCAGCCTGCTTGTGAATCATAAATCAAGAGAAACCTTGGTCATGTGGCATCAAATACTCATGCAAATTACAAACTAGGATAATGCACTCTTACTTTTGGACAGGGCTTTGGAAGAACAACCTGTCAATAGTTGGGTCATTAGCAATGAGGAGTGGGACATCTCACTGAAGAAGAAGAGAGAAGATCCATTCGGTGTTTGCAGTGATCTCTTCTCACTTTCTGAAGCTGCTGCAACCAGAACATCCTCCTCACCTGACTCCCAGCATCCAACTCATAACTTCTCTCACCAGTGCTACAAAAAACATAAATGCCATCTAACCTAAGCTCTGCTCTAATGCCAAGCAACTCAATTCTTGAAGACAACACCATGATCATTTCCACAAAAAAACCAAGATGATAGAGCATACCTAAACATTCATCACCTCAGTCCAATATCCATGATCCAGAAGAACCCAACGTTCAAGATGCGAAAAGCAACTCAAGGTCAATTTTGTACTCACCTAATTATAATCTCCTTCAAACCTGACTTTTCCATAATTCATTCTATTTTAAAATCTGTGGTTTTAGCCTTGACTTGGGTATACTAATGACTTTAAATGGAGGATAAGGAGTGCTGGAGAAAATAAATGCCAAAAAAATGCCTTCTACATTCCTGGAAGGGAATGGGCTTCCATATGGCAGATCCACTCACTGTATGGAGAAGATCCCTGGTTCCTTGTCATGTGGGGTTAGAGATGCCCATGACAGGTCAATGACCTTCAGTTGCTCCATGTTATTCTGACTGTCAAACATGTGCAACTTACAAGACGACTCATCAAGCACAAACCAACGCTTCTTCACCGACTGGGATAGGCCTAAGGAAAACATACACAACAGATTACCATATTGTGACATGCTCTGCTCAGTCTTCCATGAAATTTTCACTTTAAAACTTTAGAAGGAACTGGTAGCTGAGAAACAATATCAGATATTCACCAAAGGTGACTTTATTGATACATTATTTTTTGATACATTACTCTGAACAATTTCAGGGTGGAAAAATCATGTTACATTCTTAGATGCTCCTAAATTTTGACATTCCTGCTATGGTAACAGATATGGCATCATACAGTGCAACTCTAAATTGACTGAGCCTGGACTAAACCTGATATATATATGCACTTATTGATATTCCAGGCTGAAGGTGCTTAAATAAACCAAGTAATTATTTACATCCATTGGTCAGGTTGCATAAAAGGCAGAAAAGTCAATGTTACTGGAGAAGTATCATTTTCTAAGGATTACAAACTTTCTTCAAAAGTGCTGATAGTGTTGGGCAATAACAGAATAATTATTGGCTAACTAAAATCAATAAGCACTAGTAAGCAGATATGAAAAGAACCATTATGAAGTTGAATTCTTCTTTTAACAGTAAACACAAATAAATAATAAGTCCCAAGTTTCATATACATGAAAGACTATATATAATAGAACAGCTGTTTCATTTTCATGCTTGACCTTCAAGGAAGGGAAACCTTCAATAATTACCAAGAAAAACTTAGAAAGAATTTAATAAGATCTTGTTAAATTCTTGCAGAAAACTTTTAGGAAATGAAATAATGATAAAATTACTAAGAGTTAAGTTAGATTACCATTTACTACATTGATTCATCAATACAAGCTTCAAAATATCAGTCACATCATTAGTTTCAAATTATGGTAAGTCAATGCTTTGACACATGGTACAATAAGTAGGATTAAGCTGCATTGGGTCAACAACTGATCCTCCAATGGCCCAATCTTAAATGTATCTAAGACACATTGTCACTCAGGCAAATGCAAGTAATTTTAAAGAAACCAAAATGTAAGGATAAAATATATCACCTGTTATCCGATTTGATTTAGGAGTCACCAACTTCAAATATCCACTTAGTCTGCTGTCACCCATCTTGTTTGGCATTTGACTATGCTGTCAGGCAGTATCAAGCCAAACTAATACCCATGGGTCAATCAGGCAGAGTCTAAATTCTCTTGTGTGAGGCCTCATTGGAGGGAGCATACCTAACAGTAGGCTAATCAAATACAACATACAAGTTAGTATGTCGATTTCATTTGGCGTATTTCCCATTAGGTTAAATAGAGAAAACTTAGGCTTCTTGCAGCCATGCCTAGACCTAGGTCTTAGAAAATGCTTATGAGTATAATACCAGTATAATCATAAGACATATAAATGGCTTATAATATGAAGTGATTGATTTATATGCAAAAAAAAATATTTACCTTTTCATGCTCTGCATTTTAAGAAGTGGCAAATTGGCATGACAAGAGAATTACATTGGTGATTGGACATTAAGAGTTTGTGCTATTGCCAGCTTTGATAGATTACATCACTCAGTAGCTACCTACATGGAAAAGAAAGGTGACTCACTGAGTCTATATGGTAAGGCAAACTGGGTTTAGATAATACTAAAAGAAAAAGCCCTAGCCCAAATTCAAGGGAACAGCTATTATAAAACAGGACTAAGGAAAAGGAGGTGCATTTCAGCAAAAAATTATTGTAGGCCATATACAAATGCCACACAGAGCAGAACTGAAAAAACAGTCACCTATGAGTATTCCTAGCCACAACCTCTTTATGCAAGAATTACATCAAAGAACAAAGCAAATAGAAATAACACAGTGAATGCCTGCCCCTTGCCTTGAGCTAAACTCACAGCTTCCTAGAGCTGTCAAGACAAAGATTCTGTGACCAGTAACTAGTATCTGTCAAGGCAGTGTATCGATTTGAGCAACAAGAGGGTAGTCTTCTGCTTAAGCTATATATGAAACTAGAGCATATGGTTATTCATTTAGAAATGCTCTTATCAACTTTGGGAAATATAGGGTGGCTCAAAAATCACTCAACCGTTTCCTATGGGAGAAACACAGTTTCATAAATTCAGCAAAAAGAAATTCAATTCTATTCAATATGCAATCGATATTTGACAATTACAAGGTGTTGAAATGCTTGCTAGCTTTTTTTTCAGCACCCCTGCCTAAGTCGTGCAATGTCCATGTAGAGGTGAATTAAAAGGTGCTTAGAGGGGGTCAAGTATCAGCTGGATCTGACTGTCCCTTGAAAATTAAAGTAGAAAAGTTCATTGAATTAAGAGATTGTAGAGGACAGGCAATCACCTCAGTTGAGGTGAAATGATCCACCTCTAAGCACCTTTAATTCACCTCTAAATGGGCATCACACGACTTTGGCAGGGGTGCTGAAAAAAAGGTGGCAAGCATTTCAACACCTTGTAATTGTCAAATATCGATCTAGTATCAAATTTAATTTTTCTGCTACATTTATGAAACTGTGTTTCTCCCATAGGAAATGGTAGAGCGTTTTTTTTAAGCACCCTATACTTTGAAAAAATCTGGATGAACACCCACTTGAAAATTCCATATAAGATAGGGTGTATGACTATATGGCCATGTATGATCATATATTTGCCATATACCACCATATATTTATTAATATATTGTCAATTGTATGGCATGTAATATATTCGTATTTTACCCATATTACAATATTAAATGCAATTGGCTAATGGCATCATGTCTGATGTGTGATGAATAGCCAGACACATTTTATGGTTGTAAGTAAAACATAGCATAAGGTCAGTGGCATATTTTGGCTGAAGAGTCAAGGAGATAGGGCAGCAGTGGGGTGCCAAGCCCTGTCCCAGGAGGATGGGGAGGGGGGAGGCAGCTGCTCCCTCCCCTGCCCACAAACATGCATAAGCGTGAAATGTGACACAAAGAAAGAATAACTGAAGAAAGACACATATCCCACCTGTAACTCAGTTTCCTTCATTGGATTATTTCCGAAAGAAATACAGTTTTGTTCCCGTCTGTTTTGTGAGTTGTCAGTCAAGATGAAGAAAACACTCCTACATGAGTAAGCCAAGTTTTATCATGAAAGAGCATTACTGATGAAAATACTTGTGATGATTGAAGTCGATAATATTGAAACGTTCATCTTCAGTAACTAGTGGGTGTACATTGAACACCATGAAACATGAGTTCTCTGAGTATGGTCTATGAACAATTAAAAATGAGTTGATTGCAAGAAAAGTAAAGCATGGTGACTTGCATATGAATGATTATACAGTATTTGATGGATTATGAACCCTTTTAGGACACAAGCCTGTTTCAGGTAATCTTACCATGCATAGATATGACATGGCATATATGGACAGTATATGGTGCATTTGTATAAGCCAATATATGAAAGCATATAAGGGACATATATTTTCATTCTGATATGATTTTATGTGACTTGTCCAACCCCATATACACTTTCCTGATTGAATTTGACTCTAGGTTTCACCTATAGTGGCTATGGCTAGCCTCATTATTTCTTATTCTCTGTCCTTTGAAATACCCAACTTTCATGCCCTTATTTCACCGTTACTACTATTCCTTGTTATAGTGGTTGATCCATCTCTCTGCCATCAGAAACCTGGATTTCCATGGCAAAAATGACAATTCAAGAGGAGATGCAATCCTTAGCATGTGACATTCTCAATTACCCAACAGGTCCCGGGCCTAATCCGTTAGGGAGAAATAATCCAAATCACCTTACTTGTCCTCTATATGATCACAAGTTTCACTAAATTTGAATCTAAGCAACCACACAAGGCTCCACTGATCAGGAATTAGACACCCATGGAAGATTCTCCTAATACTTCACCTTCCACCCAAAGGATGTCCTGCCTGCACTTGATGGAAGTACCCCCCCTAAGGGGGGGTACAAATTCAATCCAGAAACAGTGAATGTTTCACACATGTTCAGATATGCACTAAATATGGTAGACTGGCTAAATACATGGTCTTTCAAAGATAGTCTTACATGAAATTTTCAGGTGGGCAAGGAACCTTTAGTGAGACATCACAATCAACCATATTGTCCTGGATTTTCTTCACCTCTATGGAAACTTTTACCTGACCCAGTAGCATGACTTCTATAAACATCTCAGAGACTAAGACAGCCTTCAACCACCTTTTTGCATTCGAGACAGGCCTAGTAGAAAAGGCTACTGAAGGCAACAGGTTGAGAGACAAACATGAAGCCATGTTCTACTCAAAGTAGACCTTAAGGTATGGTACAGAGCTAACACCCTATTACGGATCCCCAGCTTAGTTCTCTCATGTTGAAGAGTTTGGTAGTTGATAAACCCAGGAATCTTTGAAATCTTAGAAAACAAACAGGTTTGAAATGGAAAAAAGTTCTGGATGTAAATTCTTTCCTTTCAGGTATTTAATGATGATTTTATTGATTGAATGATTTCAATATAATACAGACATGGTCTTGCACCTTTGCTGGTCTTCAGTTCCATTTCAATATCTTTCTCCTCCCTTCACCATTTTCGTTGTCAGCTATATTTCTATAATTGAGATTATACCCAACAGATTTCAAACCACTGAAGTCAGAAAGGGCCTTTAAGGTTCACTTGAATCATGTTGACATAGTGAAAGTTTCAAATCTTATGTTTTAGGTGTTTTTGTCTAATCTGTTTCTCTTAATCTATTTATGTTTGATCTATTTATTTGTTACATTGTTTAACCTACTCAATCATTGTTCATCCAGTTAATTCCTACCATCCCAAGTGAAAATTTAATAGCTCATACATGAAATGGTCATATATTTAGCCAGTCTAAGTGGCCCAGTGAGTAGCCAGTGTATGGGGGATATATGAACATATAGTGCAATTCCTATATGAACATACAGGAAACATATATGGGGTTTTACACAAGTCACATAAAATCAAGTAAGAATGAAAATACCTGGCCCCATACATTTTCATATATTGGCTCATATAATTGCACTAGGTATGCCATGTCGCATCTTGTCCATATATGAAGTTTAACATGTCTGTGTATGGTGAGAATACCTGAAACATACCTGCATCCTAAAAGGGTTCATAACTCATCGATTATTGTATTATCATTCATATGCCTGCAACCATACTCAACTTACTCTTCTAGCTATTAACTCATTTTTAATTCTTCATAGACCATAGTGACCATTACTGTAAGAACTCATGTTTCAAGGTGTTCCACATATGCACACTTGTTACTGAAGATGAAAGTTTCAATATTATAGACTTCAATCTTCACAAGTATTTTCATCAGAAATGCTATTTCATGGGAAAATTGACCTAACTCACATAGGAATGCCTTCTACATTTTTAGCTGACAACTCACAAGATAGCTGGGAACAAAAACCATACATCTAGCGATAAATAATCCAAAGGAATATGTTAATGCTAGTTTGATAATATTCTGTATCAAGCATAGCTTCTGGTATTTATACTTTCCTTGTATTTCACTGCCCAGCAGTGGTGTAGCATTAGGGGGGAGGGGGACAGGGGAGGCACATGCCCCTGCTTTATACAAGAGAAGCATTAATACAAAGGGAATGACATATGAAATGCAAGGTAACAGGGTAGCAGTGTCCCAGAGTTACCATTCTCCCCCCTGCTTTATCATCCATGACATGCTTACAATACCTAGGGAGGGTAGGGGTTCTAAATCAATATTTTGGGAAAGTACTTTAAAGGTTACACATAGCTAATATTTCATGTATATTGTAATGGATGAATTAAAAATTAATTCCAGAGGTATATGAAGGTCAATGTAACAACCTCATGCAGTGGTGTGTTTTACAGGGGTGGGCAGGAAGTGCGGCTGGCCCTCCCCCCCCCCCACCCCTCCCAGCTCCCCTGGAACAGGGCTTGGCATCCTCTCAGAGGAAATATTTTTCTCCCCATATATCACTCAGATGGGGTTTGACAACCCCTGTTCTGCTGCCCTGCCCCTCTGGTTCTTCAGCCAAAACACACCACTGACCTTGTGCTATATTTAATAGCAACCATAATACCTGTAAGTGGATATTCACCACATGTCAGACACGATATCATTAGCCCATAACACTTGATATTGTAATGCAG